GGCTGTTTTCCCGTGTACTACTTCTGTTCTGTGACTGCTCTGGGCATTCCTCCTACTACAAACTACTATATGGAAAGAATTTTTCAAAAATACTATATGGCTATACGGAAGGATTATATAAATCAGCACTAAATGTGTCAGTACAGCTCTGACTACAATACCTGTATGATTATACAGAAAGATTATATATAGAACTAAGTATGTCAGATATAAGTATTAAGTATGACTATATAAGCTAGATATATATAAGCAGTAAGTTATACTTCAGGTACTAATTCTATATACTAACATAGGATTATCTATAAAGGATTATATAAAGGAAACAGCTGAGTAATAACACTGTAACATATTCGTCAGGTGCCTGGGGTCTGGACAGTTCTCCTTCCTTGGTGCCTGTGGGGGGTGTTACTCTCCCTCCTCAGGGAGAACAAAATGATTCTCTCGCAGTGGAGAGTCCCTAGACATAACCACCCTAATAGAAAGAGGGATGGGGAAGGAAACATTTTGAGGCTGATGGAATGGAACCCTTTAGAACATAAAGAACTTTAGGGGGTAAGCCTCAATTAGGAAATTTCCCACAAGCACTCAGTCCCTTACACTCCCTTCTGGAACCCGGGCTAGAGTCGCCCTCAGCAGCAGGTTTAGCGGCCCTGGCTGCAGAGCAGGGACTTTCAGCCTCAGGCCCCCGTGTCCGCCTTGGGTCTTTTTTGTTCTGGGCCAGAATGTTCCAGGTGTGAACCTCAGCGCTGGGGCCAGGGAAGATACTGGCGGGGAGACCCCTGGGTGGTGGGCTCCGGTTTCTGTCGCGACTTAAGGCTTGAGCTGCTGGGAGAAGGTCCTGCGACGCATGCGGCCGCTGTGGGGCGCCCGGGAGGCACTCCTACCGTCAGCTTGCTGCGCCCCCGCTCACGTGACCGCTGGGCCGGCGTGAGTCAGCACCTCCCCCGCCCCCTGCTGCGAGCCTTGGCGCAAGCTTTGCAGCGGTTACGTAACTAGCACCTGGGCGGCTGCGCGGGGTGGGGCGTGGGCGCTGGGCGGGCGGGGCAGGGCGTTGGCCCAGGGCCCGGCGGCGGCAGAGAATCCCGGTTTTAAAAATTTACTGGACGGGCGCCGTGTCTCCCGCCTGTAATCCCAGCACTTTGAGAGCCGAGGCCGGCGGATCACGAGGTCCAGTGACCAAGACCATCCTGGACAACATGGTGAAACCCTGTCTCTACTAAAAATACAAAAAATAGCCTGGTGTGGTGGCGTGCCTGTAGTCCCAGCTACTCAGGACGCTGAGGCAGGAGAATCACTTGAACCCAGGAGGCGGAGGTTGCGGTGAATCGAGATCACGCTACTGCATTCCAGCCTGGGGACAGAGCAAGACTCCGTCTCAGAAAGAAAAAATAAATTCGGCTGCGTCATTTGCCATTTCCTCCCACTACCAGGGGAGGCTTTCTGGAGTTGGATCCTGACATTGCCATTTTCCAGTTCTGCGGTCTTGGACAAGGCGTTTAACTTTTCTAAGCCTCAGTTTAAGAATCTGAAAATTGGGTTATCTTTGTTGTGAGGATTGAAGTAAACATGGCGTTTCATTGCAGACTCATTTAACAATGCTCAGAATAAACAGGGCAGAGTGGGGCCAGGCCCCATTCCGTGTGACTAAGAGATGGAAGGCTATGTTCTCTTGGCCCCAGTTCTGGGCCCTTCAGTGTGTATCTTGTGAAGCTGACAGTGATTCTACTGTTTTGTGTCTTAAACTAGATTGTAGTGTTTTTTTGTTGTCGTTTTTGAGACGGAGTCTTACTCTTCGCCCAGGCTGGAGTGTAATGGCACTATCTTGGCTCACTGCAACTTCTGCCTCCCGGGTTCAAGCAGTTCTCTGCCTCAGCCTCCCGAGTAGCTGTAGCTGGGATTACAGGTGCCTGCCACCACACCTGGCTAATTTTCTTGTATTTTTAGTAGAGACGGGTTTCACCATCTTGGCCAGGCTGGTCTTGAACTCCTGACCTCGTGATTCATGCACCTCGCCTTCCCAAAGTGGTGGGATTACAGGCATGAGCCATGGTGCCCAGCCTAGATTGTAGTGTTTTCAAATACTTCCTTTCTGTATAACATGATCCATCTGAAAGGCCATCAAGCAAGTTGTTAGGCAATCAACCGAAAAAACAATTCCCTTCCATGCTAGCATACAAGTCTATCTCCAAAGTGGCAAGAAAAAAAAAGAAAAAAAAAAAACTAAAAAAAAATCTGTATGTGCAATCAAGATTCAAAAAAACCTGTGAAGCAAATCTCGGCTCGCTCCACTCTCCGCCTCCTGGGTTGAAGCAGTTCTCCTGCCTCAGCTTCCTGAGTAGCTGGGATTACAGGCGCCTGCCACCACACTTGGCTAATTTTTGTATTATTTTAGTAGAGAAGGGGTTTCAGCATGCTGAGGCTGGTCTCAAACTCCCAACCTCAAGCAATCTGCCTGGCTCGGCCTCCCAAAGTGCTGGGAGCCACTGCACTGGGCCTATTTTATTATTATTATTTATTTGTTTATTTCTTTTGGTAGAGATGGGGTCTCACTACGTTGCCCAGGTTGGTCTCAAACTCCTGGGCTCAAGCTCCTGCTTCAACCTCTGAAAGTGGTAGGATTACAAGAATGAGCCACTGCACCCAGCCTACTAAGGGATTTTCTCAGGTAACTTTAACTATGTGACATGATTGTAATTTACTTTTCATTTTCTATTCCTTCAAAACATGAAGCTTGTAGCGCAGTGACAGTCCAGCCCCTTCAACCTCGCTGTCTCACTAAGGTTGCCAGTAACCTTTGACCAAAACAATCTTGTAAGTAATGAAAAATTTATTTTCTAGATTGTTGCGCTCTCTTCGATCCTCCTCTTGCTCTGCACTCTCTCTCACCTCACCCATATTTCACTCACCGATTCTCATAGTTGAACTCCTGACTAAAGGCTGACACCCCTCCCAAATCCCTGTCTCCATCCCAGGCCTCTCATTCGGCCTCCAGACCTGCCATTTTCTAGTGTGTTCTGGATGGTTCTATTTGCTTGTGGCTCAGACACCTCAAAAACACATCCTAAACTGAACTCACCATCTCCCTCTCCCACCCTCCTGCCCCTGCCCCCAGTTACTCCTCTGTCATCTCCATCTTGATTGGTGGCACCATCATTCAATCAATTTTTCCAGGCTAGAAACTTTTTTTTTTTTCCTGCCGCCCTGGCTGGAGTGCACTAGCGTCATCACGGCTCACTGCAATCTCCACCTCCCACGTTCAAGCAATTCTCCTGCTTCACCCTCCCAAGTAGCTGGGATTCCAGGTGCCCACCATTACACCTGGCTAATTTTTGTATTTTTAGTAGAGATGGGGTTACACCATGTTGGCCAGGCTGGTTTTGAACTCCTGACCTTAGGTGATCCACCTGCCTCAGCCTCCCAAAGTGCTGGGATTACAGGCGTGAGCCACCGCACCCGGCCTTAACTCCACATCTAATCAGTCATAGGATCTTGCCATTTCATTAGTGTTTCTTGAATTCTTTTCATTCTTATTTCTACTGTCCTATTTTAGGTTCTCCACACTTGTCACCTGGGCTGCTAGAAATGGTGTCTTTGCTTCCAGTCCTATTTCCCTTGAAGCTTCCTCTACATTGCTGTCAGGGTGGTTTTCCCAAAATGCAGATCTGGCCAGGCACAGCGGCTCATGCCTGTATTCCCAGCACTTTGGGACACTGAGGCAGGAGGATCACTTGACCCAGGAGTAGGAGACCAGCCTGGGCAACAGAATGAGACTGAGACTCTGTCTCTATTTTTAAAACTAAAAGATAATAATTTAAAATTTTTAAAAATAAAAATAAATTAGTTCAGCATGGTGGCATGCACCTGTAGTCCCAGCTACTCAGGAGGCTGAAGTGGGAGGATGGCCCGAGCTCAGGAGGTTGTGGCTGCCATGAATCATGATCACACTACTCCACTACAGCCTGGGTGATAAAGTGAGACCCTGGCTCACAATATGAAAATAAATCAAACGCATATCTGACCATGTTCCTCTCCTGCTTCTATCCTACAGTGGCTCCCCATCACTGGCCTGTCTTATGGGAAAATATTTACATTCCTTAACTCAGCCTAGAAGGCCTCTGTGACTTCATGTCTACTTCTCTGCTCCCTCTCATGCTTCCTTCCTGGCTGTAGCAATCGTGAAGCTATCGTACTTCCCCAAACCCACCTGCAGCTTCTTGGTTTTTTTCCTGCAGACTCCTGTCTAGAATGTCTTCTACATGCAGCAACCCTAACCCAACCTCCATACTGCAGAGAAGGGGCCCGTCTCAGCCCAATTCCTAGTCATCCTCTAAGATTCAGCCCAGGTGTCACCTCCTCAAGGACATGTTCCTTTCCTAGCTGCTTGAACCCTGGATAGGAGTCCTATTCCTTTTATTCTTTTATCTCCATAATATCATTTACTATTACTCCATGATACATTGTTTTATAAAAGTCTTTGTAACCTCCTTAAGGATTCACTGCTTCATCTCCAGTGCTTAGCACAAATCATTAAATGCAAACCAGAAGCTGTTCCAAATGTTACAACGATAACCTCATTGGATCCTCACTACCAACCCCATGCAATAGACACTACTGTGATCTCTGTCTTAGAAAGAAACAGGCACAGGGAGGTTCAGTGATTTGCCCAAGGTCATACACACACTGGCCTTCAGGTACTCATGCCCAGGCAGTCTGCTTCCACAGCTGCATCCTTGGCCACTGCCTCCTTATAGTGTCCTTGGCCACTGCCTCCTTATAGTGTCGGCGTAAGCACACCGACAGCTATGCTTGGTGAGTGCATACTGTGTCCCCGGCTCTGTGTTACATGCTTTACCTGGATTATTTCAACTGCACAACAACCCTGTGAGGTAAGTACCATCATTGCTCCCATTCTACTTTACAGAAAACTACACAAATCTGGGGCAGGGCACAGTGGCTCATGCCTGAAATCCCAGCACTTTGGGAGGCCAAGGCAGGAGAATCACTTGAGCCCAAAAGTTTGAGACCGGGCTGGGCAACGTGATGAGACCCCCATCTCTAAAAAAAATTTTTTTAATTAGCTGGGCATGGTAGCAAATGCCTGTAGTCCCAGCTACTTGGGAGGCTGAGGTAGGAGGATCTAGCCCAGGACGTCAAGGCTGCAGTGGGCTGCGATGGCGCCACTGAACTCCAGCCTGGGTGACAGAGCAATACCCTGTCTCAAAAACAAAACAGTAATATGGCAGGTTCCCCAGCATCACACAGCTAACTAGTGGCATAGCTTCACCCAAACCTGAAGTCTTAGCCAGGACACTCTACCAAATGAGATCAACGGCTCAGTAATGGATTGGCATCCAGTGTGAAGACTGGACCAGCAGGGAGAACTATGACACGTACAGCTCAGAGCTTGACAGAGTTCAGAGCCACAGAGGTGGCACAGGCTGACTCACAACCCGAGCAGAAAGGGACCAACCCAGAAACAGTGACCCAGAATCACAGGGAAATGGAAATGGGAGTCAGCACAATGGAGCCCCTCCTTGACCCCATGCTCCTTATCCTCAGAGGCGCAGGAGTTGGTTGCACAGGCGGCTCAAAGGTCTTGACGGTGGAGAACACCATCCCCAGGGATTCCCGAGGTGGTGATGCCATCAAAGCGTTGATTCTGAGCTGGGCCTGCCCATGTGCGGACTCCGTCGCAGCGAGAGAAGGGTTAACCACCCAACTTCGCCATTGCGGAGGGACCTAGGGCCGGGTCGCAGCCCGGAGAGGAGATCTAAGGTTAACCGTCGCGGGTGGGCACCACGGCTGCGGCCTAGGAAAGGGGTAACTGCCCCTAGGGGGCGGAGCTCCGCAGGGGCGTGGCCTCGGGGCTGCGCGGCCCGGGACGGCGAGGAGACGGTTAACGTCCAGGAGGGGCGGGGCCGCAGAGCGGGCGCGGCCCTGGGGAGGTTCTGGGGGCGGAAGCGGCTGGCGGTCTGCGCCCGGCGCGCTCCGGCTTCTTTCCGTCCGGCTCCTGCAGAAGCCCGGCAACTTCCAGGGCTGGGAAGCCAACCGAGGTTTGGGGGCAGCGGCGAGGGCTCAGGACGGGAAAGGGGGATGGTCCATGCTGAGGCCCTAAGTGGGGAAACTCGCGAGAGTCTCGGGCCATCTGGGATAGATGGGGCGAAGGCAGATGATGGGCCCAGGAGCTCTGGGGCAGCGAGGAGGGAGGAACGGGCCAGCTGGCAAACTTGGGTGAAAGGATGGGGTGCCTGGGTGAGGAGCCGCCGCCAGGATTCTGCTCTTCACACCCCTTCTACCCCAACTCCCTTCCAGGTCAATTCCACACTGGAGCTCAACTTTCAGGAGACGCCCCAGCAAGCCTCTTTCGAGGAGTTCTCCAACTCCTCACTTCCATGGGCCAGACGGCCCTGGCAGGGGGCAGCAACAGCACCCCCACCCCACAGGCCCTGTACCCAGACCTCTCCTGTCCCGAGGGCTTGGGAGAGCTGCTGTCTGCACCCCCTCCTGACCTGGGGACCCAACGGCGCCACGGTTGGAATCCCAAAGACTGTTCAGAGAACATCGAGGTCAAGGAAAGGGGGTTGTACTTTGAGCGGCGGCCCGTGGCCCAGAGCACTGATGGGGCCCGGGGTAAGAGGGGCTACTCGAGGGGCCTGCACGCCTGGGAGATCAGCTGGCCCCCAGAGCAGAGGGGCACGCATGCCGTGGTGGGCGTGGCCACGGCCCTCGCCCCGCTACAGGCTGACCACTACGCGGCGCTGCTGGGCAGCAACAGCGAGTCGTGGGGCTGGGACATCGGCCGGGGAAAGCTGTACCATCAGAGCAAGGGGCCCGGGGCCCCCCAGTATCCAACGGGAACTCAGGGTGAGCAGCTGGAGGTGCCAGAGAGGCTGCTGGTGGTTCTGGACATGGAGGAGGGAACCCTGGGCTACGCTATTGGGGGCACCTACCTGGGGCCAGCCTTCCGTGGACTGAAGGGCAGGACCCTCTATCCGGCAGTAAGCGCTGTCTGGGGCCAGTGCCAGGTCCGCATCCGCTACCTGGGCGAAAGGAGAGGTGAGGCATTGGGCAGGTTTGGGGAGAACTTTCTGTCCCTGGTGGCAGCGGTTTGGGATGGAAACTCTTGACAAGAGTAGAGGGGATGGACCTTCATCCAACCTGCCTCTTCTCTGTTCAGTGCTGGGAAAGGCTAGGGGTCTTCACAGCTGTTATTTAATTTAATCCAATACCAATAGAGGTTAAACAGGCCTGAGAAAGCAACTTTCTCAAGTTCTCTTGGCCAGTAAGTGGTGAACCTTCAGAATGGAGGGAGGCACTCCAGGGCTGAGGGCGTTCAGGAGATCACCCAACCCCTGAGCAAGAGATACAAAGGGTTAGGTACTGGGTTTGGCGTACAGGTCCAAAAGGAGGACGACAGGCAGAGCCAGGCAGCCAGTGTGTATACGGAATTCCCTGGGCTCTGACCTCTGTGCCATATACCTACTTCCTTCCTCAGCCAGACCTCAGGATGGAGCCACTGGGGCCCTGGGCATCAGGGAGGAGGCAGGGCCTTAGGGTGGGGCAGCAGGGGAGGAGCCTCCCCAGGAACTGACTGGGGCCAGGGCTTGGAGCTGCTCTCTGCAGTTGTGTGAGCTGCAGAGTGGAGGACCATCCTTCCTCACCTCAGCCCCAGCTCCCAAGCCTCTGGAGTCAAAGCCTGGGCCAGCTCCACTACGGTCCGAGCTACCTTGGCCTGTCGCTTAGAGGGCCTTAACCAGCACTTCACCCCCAGCTCTGACTAGGGATGTGTGAAATCTTCACTGGGAGGCAGCACTTCGGGGCATCTCAGATCTCCCTTTGAGCTAAGGTGGGCACACTCGAAGCAGGAAAGCAGAAAGGCATCTGGGTAGGACCCTGTAGTTTGAGGACATCTGGCTGGTGGCTGTACCCATACTCACCTTCCCCTCCTTCTCTCTCCCAGCGGAGCCACACTCCCTTCTGCACCTGAGTCGCCTGTGTGTGCGCCACACCCTGGGGGATACCCGGCTTGGCCAGGTATCTGCCCTGCCCTTGCCCCCTGCCATGAAGCGCTACCTGCTCTACCAGTGAGCCCTGTGATACCACAGACTGTGCTGGGGCCTTGCCACCACCCCTGCCCTTGAGGAGGTAGGGAGGCACTGCTGGCCTAGACCAGCTACTGAAAGCCAGTGAGGCTGGGCCCCTACCCCAACCCAAGCTCTGGGGAAATCAACAGCCCCAGAGCCACTCAGAGGGAGGAAGAGAGCGAGCCAGCATTCAAGGCTATGGCAGTCTGCTACGCAAAACAGTTTTTGAAGTAAAAATACTAAGAGGTGTTGTTACAACCTGTTTATGGTTTTGTTTTTTTGCACAAGGGATAATTTCTATAGCTGCCTCAAAAAGGAAGATTTATGGACAAGTCCAGTGAAGGCGGACAGACCACAAGACCTAGTGCCAGGTGTTTATTCCCTCACACGTGGGTGGTTCACATACACACACACACAGGCATGGGCACCATGGGAGAGGGCAGCACTGCTGGTTTCTGAGGGGAGGATCTTGGCCTCACGGTGAGGATGGTTTCTCTCCCTCCCTCACTAGGGCCTAGGGGACCCACTAGTAAATTTCACCCCTTCCACTTCTCAGCCAAGGAGAAGCCACCTTGGTGACGTTTAGTTCCAACCATTATAGTAAGTGGAGAAGGGACTGGCCTGGTCCCAACCATTACAGGGTGAAGATATAAACGGTAAAGGAAGGTACAGTTTGGATGAGGCCACAAGAGGGGGCAGATGACACCATCAGAAGCATGTGCAGGGAGGGGCAGTTACTGGGCTTCTGGGCTGCTTAGTCCCTGGCTTGGCAGGAAAGATAGGGAAGATGGATGGGCCTCATTGTTTGGCATTGATGATGTCCACGAATTCGGGTTTGAGGGAAGCACCACCCACGAGGAAGCCATCCACATCAGGCTGGCTGGCCAGCTCCTTGCAGGTTGCCCCGGTCACAGAGCCTGGGAAGGGAGCAGAACAAGGGCTTGGTCAAGGATGGGATGAGTAGCCCTACCCCACCTCCATGTCCCAGGGCTCAGTCTTGCCCTCAGCCCACTCCACCTCAGCCGCGAAGCAAAGCCACTCACCTCCATAAATGATACGGGTGCTCTGAGCCACTGCATCAGAGACATTGGACTTAAGCCACCCTCGGAGCTTCTCGTGTACTTCCTGGGCCTAGAACAAGAAGCTAGCCTTATCTTTTCTGCCTCTCTAAAAGGGAAAATCAGTGGCACCAGTGGACACTTAGTATGGTTTCTGAGTCTGAGTCTGAGTACCAAGGCTCAGATCCAAGCCAGGCCATGGAATGGATGCCCTTGGACAAGTCACTGTCTCTGGGCTCAAGGTTTCCCTGTCTTTAAAATAAGGGGTTGGCCTAGGTGGTCGGTCTGTCCAAACCTGTGGCAGGCTGGGATGAGAGCAGGGCTCCTGGGCTCAGTTACCTACCTGTTGGGGTGTTGCAGTCTTGCCCGTGCCAATGGCCCACACAGGCTCATAGGCCAGGACGACCTTGCTCCAGTCCTTCACATTATCTGCAGGGCAGAGATCACAGTTGGAGGGAAGGGTGGACAGGAAGGAGCTGTCCAGACAGATTCCCCAGAGTATAAAGAATGGTGGCCTACTGCCCCCTAGTGGTCATTGGGGGATTTCCAGGTGGCATCTACCTTGGGGGCTGGAGAAGTGATAGGTACCAAGCAAGGATGCTCACTCCCCCTCCCCCTTTTCCTTTTCTGGATCAGCATGGGGACCAAGACATGCTCCAGGGCCTGACCCTACCCTCTGAGTCTCTGTGGCCCTGGCTAGGTTCAAAGGTCCCTTTCTCCAGAGATACCTGCGATGACCTTTGTCTGCTCGAAAACAACCTTCTCAGTGATGCCAGCTTCCCTTTCATCTAGCTTCTCCCCAATGCAGGCGATTACTCCGAGTCCCTCTGCCAGAGCATGGGCCACTTTCTGCCCAATCAGCTGTTGAAAAACAGACTTGGTGAGACATCCTTCTTGGAAAAATACATCCCTTATCTCCTCTCTTGGCTACTAACCTCATCTGACTCCCCGAAGACATGCCTTCTCTCTGAGTGCCCCAGGACCACCCATGTGGCTCCGCAGTCTTTGATCATGCCAGGGCTAAAGAAGAGAGGAAGCCAAGGCTCAGCAGGGAGCCCACCAGTGGCTTTCCCTTCACACCCTCTCCACCTCCATCTCACCTGATCTCCCCAGTAAAGGCCCCGTTAGACACTTTGTAGCAGTTCTGCGCAGCCACAGCAATCTTGGGATCTAGCTTCTGCCGGGCGAAGTCGATATAGGCAGTGGGGGGAGCACAAACCACCTCTGAGGACAAGAGAGTCCCACAGTGGGATGAGACTAAAGAAAGCCTTCATTCGCCACAACTCCTGACCAGTGCCCTCAGCCTCTTCTTGGTTCTACTCTCCCCTGCTTTTCACCCCAGCAAGATGACCTCTGCCCACTTCCCAGTCAGGCTGGGCCTGCGCTCAACTGGCAGAGCCTTCCAAGTACCCCTGAGAGGCCACGGCCCTTACCCTGCCCTCTGCTCTTTTAACAGCTGTGGCTCCAATTTCCTCGAGCTATTCTGGGCATAGGAACCTCCCAGACTCAGCATTCTCTAGGGGCCAACCCTGCCCCCTTCTAAAATAGCCCATCCTCACCTCCCCTTTACAAGGCAAGGATTTGTAGCAAAAGGAGAAGGGGCCAACTCCTGGGGACTGTATGGGGGCCTCTGGGGCCTTTGGGGAATGAACGAGAAGGGGATGCCTCTTTGGATTAGGCCCGAGGTTCTCTGATTTCGGTTGGGGGTAAGAGGGAAGATGGAGGAGAGCATCCTTTGCCCGTGGGTGGGGCAGAGCTAACTGACTCAGAGGCCTGGAGCGTTCTCGTTTCCAGGTTGGGGAAAGCGGTAGGATGGCTCCTCACTCCCAGATCGCTCAGCCTGTTTGGCACCAGCTCGGTTCCTTCCGTGGAAGGCAGGAGTCGCTCAGGCTGCTGAATGGAAGGGGTCAGAGCTGGGGGCTCATGGGCCCCGAGCAGCTAGACACTGGGACTCCGCCGCAGGCGAGGCGGGGGAGGAGTCTGGGGCTACGTGCGGCGGCGCACGGCGCCGGAGGCCGTGGGGCAGGTAGCGGGAAGCCCACGCAGCCCAGCCTCCTCCCCGACCCCGGCGGCTGCGGTCAGCCTCTCCCGGTCGCCCGCAAAGCCTCGGGCTCCGCTCCTAATCCCGGCGCCTATCGGGCACAGCCCCAGTGCGCGCCCTGGGGCCACCTTCCTCCCAGAGACCCAAAACGCCTTTTCCTCCCCCACAGTCCAAAGGGGCATCACGTGCTCCGCCCTACCCCCTCGACGCACCGACAGGGCTGCGGCTGCGGGGCCCCTGCCGGAACCCCAGCGACCCTCGTCCCGCAGCCCTGCATCAGGTCCACGCGGACACCGGACTCAGGGTCTCGGGAGAGCGCGCTGCCACTCCAGCCCAGGCCCCGGCCCGGCCCCTCCCCAGCGGGGGCTTACCGGTGTCTCCCGGCACCTTGGCCGCGTTCAGAGTGCCGATGAGCTCCCCCAGATTCTGCTTCCTCCCGTTCATCTTCCAGTTCCCACCGACGAAGAACTTCCTGGAGGGAGCCATGGCGCTGGAACCGAGGCACTGAAGGTCAGTGTCAGCGCGCAGCCGCGGCCACTGCCCGCTTATATAGAGCGCCGCGAAGTGGAACTCCGCCTCCTCGCCGTCCTCCGCCATGGCCCGCCCGGTCCCCCGGAGCCCTGCCCCTCGCCCGCCCTCCTGCCGCCACCCGGCCGCCGCCCGGCGTGGCACTGTTCTGACGTTCCCCCTTCTTGTTGGCAACGTTCTAGGGGCGTCGGGGTCTCGGTCGCCTCTGCCACGATTGCGGGGCTTTTGGGACATGGCGACACCTGTGAGCTCTCGCTTGGCGACTTGAGTCCCCCACGGGGCCAGAAGTGGTTCGACGGAGGTAGCTCGTGGCAACCTGGCCCGTGGCCCAAATCGCTCACTGGGGCAGAGAGGGCCCCTCTCCATCAGTGGGATAGAGAACCCCCTTCCCCCGTCGGAGCAGCTGAAGCCCGACTGCTGAGTAAGCACCTTGTACCCAGGGAGTCTACCTGAGTCGATTTGCAGGGCAAATGCAGGGTTCCGAGCGGGAGGGGCAGTCCAGAGAGGTATAGGCCGCCAGGAGTATCCCAACCCTCGCCCCGGCTGGCCAAGGCCTGGCAGGAACTGCAGGGACTGAGACCCAGACTGAAGCCGGCTAGCCCCTAGGGACATTTGGGAAATACTGGGGCTCCTGTGTGACTAGAGGCAAGGGCTCTTCATCCCATCTTTCTTCAGCTTTGTGCCAGCATTTAGTCACTCGACTCCACTTCCCCACCCAACCCCGATTTCCCAAGAACTCTAGAACGACTGGAGTGGAGACCTGCCTATGGGGAAGAGGCGGCAGAGCTAGGGGGGTTTTCTGAAATGCCCCTCTGCTAACCGGCCCTCTTGCTAACCTCGAGAAGGTAAGCCTCTCCCAAGGTATCAAACAGGACACAATTTTAGCTGTTGTAGTTTTATTCACATCATGTATTTTGGCATTTTCCAGAGAAGGACAAGGAAGAAACAGGGTGGGGGAAAGACTGAGTAAGGAGGGCAAGGGGTGGGGGTCCCCATTTCCCTCATATCCCTCTTTGACCAACCACACAGGGGCAAACAGGTGGGGGAGGCACAGGTGCTCCCTCCCCTGGGAGAGGATGCACAAAGCTACACCCACGCGCACAAACGAGACCCCTCCCTCCACACCAGGGTGCTGGGCAGGGCGACACAGAGAAGCAGAGCACTGTGGATTCCAGGGGCAGGGGAAGCAACAAAGTCTCCCTACAGACAGGTGGCCAGCCCCTCCGGTCCCCTTCCTGCTCCATCCCCAGAGTCTATCGCTGCCCCTCCACTCTGTCCGGCCATTCTCCCACGGCCTCCAGCTTCTTCCCTGCTGCCGGGGACAAAAGGAAAAGGGTACAGAGCAGGGGGGCTGAAGGCCATCCCTCAGCCCCTCTCCCTCAGGCCAGGTGGTCTTCCCCTGCCCTCAGTGGTAAGGGGTGAGGCAGGCTCTTAGCTGGCCACTCTCTGGTAGAAGTAGATGTAGCCCAGGTCCTTGGGTGGCTTCTCAGAGGCACACACTTTCTGGTCATTGTAGATAACCCATCTGGGAAAACGGAGAAAACAGAAAAGAACGAACAAACTGGGCATTCCAGGTGGCATCACATAGTCTCTCAGACACAGCCCCTGGAAGTGCTCTCCACATTCTCTGC